AGAAAGAAAGAAAGAAAGAAAGAAAGAAAGAAAGAAAGAAAGAAAAGAAAGAAAGAAAGGAAGGAAGGAAGGAAGGAAGGAAGGAAGGAAGGAAGGAAGGAAGGAGAGAAAGAAAGAAAGAAAGAAAAAGAAGGAAAGAAAGAAGGAAGGAAGGAAAGAAAAAGAAAGAAAGACTTAAACAGGACACACTTTTAAAAGGTACCAAAAGAAAAAACGAAAAGGAAAAGCAGGCCGGCACACAGACCTGCTTCAAATAATGCATGCCTTCAAGTATCTAAGCCAGTGGTTCTCAAAGAGTGGCCCAGGGAAACCTGGGAGACCCCAAGACCCCTTGGGGGGTTCATGAGATCAAAACCAATTCCAGAACAGCATTCCCTGAACTGCCCACCACAGGAAGCTGCCCACAAACCGGGACTCCCGGCTCCTCACTTTCCTCGCTGTGCTGACGTTTGCACTGATGACATGAAAACAATGGCAGACGTGAACCTAGGTGTGCCGTCGGACTGCACCGGCAGTCATCATGTTCTTCAGTGTGTTCCTTCAAGAAAAGGGGCTCACTTAAGAATGTTCTCGATGAAGCAGTGAGAATTACTCATTTTATTAAATCTCAGCCTGATTCTCTGAAGGAATACATTTGTGCGCTCGAGTTGTGAGCTGAACCAACCGCTTTTTTCATGAAAAGCCACAAACAAATAACCTAAAACAAATGATAGCCAAACTCTGGATACTCATATATGGGTATGTGGCATACATTTTCTTGAAAATTAACAAAGTGAGCCTTTCACTTCTAAGAAAACAACTAGAATTTGTTAGCATAATAAAATTGAGGCTTTCAGGCAAAAATTCAAATTTTGGAAAATTTGTGTCTGCCACCATGAGTTCGACAGCTTCCCAGTACTTGAAGACTTTACTGATGAGATCAGTGGTGATATTAACAAATGTGGTTTATTTATATGTGTGTGTGATACATATAAAAATGTATATATATTGAGTAATAAATGATGTCAGCATTTAGATGAAGTACATAACTCGGTTAATCAATATTTTCCAAATGATTAATATATGAAGTCACAAAGTCATGTTTGGACAAAAGATCCATTAAATTTTAAGACAGACCAATTGATTCCAATGTAACAGAGAACAACGAATTCGTTGATACGGCCTCAGACTCCACGTTGCAACTATCCTTTGAGAAACCACCACATGTTGAGTTTTGATGTCATATCAAAGAAGAACATCCACAATTATATATTTAAAGGCCATTAATGTATTCATCCCCTTTGCAACTACTTATCTGTGGGAGATTGGATTTTCTTCAAATCTTCAACCAAAGCAACATACAGCAACACCTTGTACGCAGAAGTAGATGTGAGAATCCAGCTGTCTTCTTTGAAGACATACAGTAAATAGGTCTTCAAAAATGTTTAAAAAAATAATAATAACACTCTTCTCACTAGCTTTTAAATAGATATATACTTATTTTTAATTTTTAAAAATGTGGTAATATGTAATGTGTTTATTAATGGTACTTTGGGTGAGTTAATAAATCATTTTTAATTTTTTAAACTTTTAATGTAGCAAATGTTGATGCATATAATCCACAAAAGCTCTTTGGGAGACTCAATAACTTCTATGAGTACATATAAAAGCTTCCAGACAGCAGAAAGATTGAAAACCAGAGGAAGCCCACAGCCTGTCCTTATGCATGTAGGCCACAAGGTGGCAGCAGGCGCCCTCTGATAACTCCGGAGCCAGCTCTCACTCACTAGGAGTCTCTGAGCAACTTCTTTCCCCATCTCCCCTCCACTTTTTTTCTTACCTTCCTGCTTCTGTGTTGCACATCTTTTTTTTTTTTTTTTTAACTAACTAGCTTTATCCACCAACAGCTTCTTAATTACAGGAAATAGCAATCTCCTAAGCATAAGTTCTGGCCAAACGGAGCCAGGGATTCATTTCAGTCTGCAAACATTTGCCAGGTGTCACTCATACTCAAAGCTTATCATCCAGGATGGGTACATTGAGAACACTGCTCTGAAGTAGTTGATAATCTAGTGAGGGAGACAGATCCAAAGGCCAGTGATTATAAAGCCTGCTGAGCGTGAAAGCCCTTTATTCTTTACAAAGGGCTGTGGACTTCAAAGGGAGTCCTGAGAGTGGAGGATGCCAACAGCCAGATACTGAGACACTCGTCAAGAACCCCTGCAGGGATCTGGAACCTAGGGACATATCAAGGCCAAAAGCCAGGTTCCCAAGAGATCAGGGAGGAGAAAGGACTGAAACAACAGAAGTCAGGGGACAGAAAAGGGAATGACAGCTTTCTCAATTTTGAAGGTGGCATGTCTGAGAAATCAGAATGATGATGAGCAGAGGCAGCCAAGGTGAGGATGGGGGAAGGATTCTGCCTTGTGGAAGCTTAGGCTGAGGGTCTAGGAAGCCAGATCACTGGAGGGGCCTCACTGTGGATGCTGGAACAGCCTCACATGGGGGCAGGAATGGGGCTGCCATCAGCAGGGGGCCTCAGAGAGCTCAGGATGGCCAGTCAATGGAGGCCTCAAGGATGCCAGGGGTGGCCAAATCTTGGTGTGGACTGATTCCAAACGTGGTAGGACAATGTTCTGAAGCTAACGGTGGGTAACTTCTCTAAGTCATCCTAATGCACTAGAATCTAGAATGAGCACTGGGGAAATGGGGAAGGCCAGGGGGCTTGTGGTTAGGAGACCCATATCCAGAGATCTCCATGGAAGAGAACCTGGGACTCCCAGCACGGAGGAAGGGAGGGAGTGGAGGAACAGGCAGGGGCTGTGCACAGCCTGGGAGGGGCTGGGCCTCGGGCATCAGAGTCCCGGCGAGGAGAGGAACCTGACTTCACCTGCAGGTGGAGCAAGTAAGCCAGGAGAGAGTGCCCGGCAGCCATGAGGCTCATGGTAGTCAGGGAGCCCACCAAGTCCATCAAAACCTGGAATCTGTGCTAGAAATGACCAAAGGGCCAGCTGTCCCAATCTCCTCGTGTAATGGACAGCAAAATGGAGGCCCACACATGGAAAATGACTTCTAAAGAGCACCAGCAAACCTGGGAAAGCTAGGACTGGAACCCAGCTCAGTCCCACTGTGTGCCTGCTGTAACACCCCCATTACAACACAGGAGGGGCAAGGCTCCCTGAGAGGCCACGGCGTGGTGGCGGGGGCTGCAGGAAAGGGAAAGACAGACCCACAGTGGGTCCTGTCCCAGGCATTGGGGAAAGAGCACGCTGATTTGATGGTGGCTGCAGGACACTCTGCCTGCTTGTTTGCTTATTTGTTTTTTGTTTGTTTGTTTTGTTTGTTTGATTTTGAGAAGGAGCCTCACCCTGTCCCCCAGGCTGGAGTGCAATGGCGCCATCTCAGCTCACTGCAACCTTCGTTACCCAGGTTCAAGTGATTCTCCTGCCTCCGCCTCCTGAGTAGCTGGGATTACAGGCACACACCGCCACCAGGCCTGGCTAATTTTTTGTATCTTTAGTAGAGTCGGGTTTTCACCATGTTGGCCAGAATGGTCTCGAACTCCTGACCTCATGATCCACCATCCTCAGCCTCCCGAAGGGCTGGGGTTACAGGCATGAGCCACCACGCCCAGATGCTTGTTTTTTAACCCAGAAAAATGTCCTTTTTTCCCAGTGAAAACCTCAAGTCATTGTACAGAGCCAGGAAAATTGGCCCACCCACTTCACGCCCTAGCAGGAGGCTCTGAATCTCCCTGGAAAATGAGTACCCAGAGGGGACGACCCCCATCCCACCATCCCTCAGTCCAACCTCTGGCCTCGCCTGGCAGTGAGGAGGCAGGTGGGGGTCAAGTACCTACTGATCACACCCGGAACTTTCTGCTTTGCTCACAACCAGAATGACTCAGCCCTGGCCTTACCTGGGCTCGGGCTAGCCTGGAACCTGGGGGCCTGCAGTGGCTTTCTAAGATGGGGGCCCCCTGTTAGCATTGGACCCCCCAAGTGCAGACTCCCATCCGTTTTGAAACCCTGACTGGCTGCTCACTCCCACCCACTGCTGAGCCTCTCCCTCCCCTCCCCTTACCATCCCTAAAGGACGACAGTCAGTGGCTCTGCAGAAAGTCACAGAGCAGAGGGCGACAGACCAATGTTCGTGTCACGTTCACTCTCTTCATCATTGATTCGTGCACTCCTGCATTTATTCCAGCATTCATCCAGTGCCTTTCGAGCCAGCCCTTGCCCAGTGCTCAGACTCCAGAGGCGAGCAGGCAGCATTGCTGCTCAGAGGAGCCACAGTGGCGTGGAGGACTCAGAAAGTCGACCTGAAGTCCAGAGCTCCGTGGCGAAGCACAGGTGCCCGACAGCCGCACGCCAGCAGTCAAGGTTGCTCAGCACACACCCTGCTTCATTGTCATGCTTTCTTCATTTTTATTTTAAATTCATGGACGAATTGTATTAAACAGGAGTTGTCACATGAAGATTCAGATGTCCTGGGCCTTCAGGAAGTCCAAGAACACCCGACCCACTTTCCCACACGGCAGCCCTGGCCTGAGACTGGCTGTCGCTTCAGGTTAGGAATGTTCTCATTCCCCACAGTCGCCACCACTGCCCGGTGTCCCCAACCCTGAGGCCCCACATGAGTGGCCACAAGTTGCCCTACTGCTGCTGCTGTTCTCATGCCCCGCCAGCTTCACCTTAAGTCTGGCTCCTGCAAGGCTGAGCCGGAGATCTTTGGTCCAGGGTGAAAGTGCTTTGACAGAGGCAGCAGAGGGCGCTATGGGAGCACACAGGAAGGGCACCTGGGGCACCGCAGGGACTGCAGAACAGGCTTCGTGGGCACACGCAGCTGCTGGCTGCTGGCTGGGCTTCCTCCATTAGCTTAAACAATGGAAGGCGGACTTGGATAGGGAATGTACCTCATGCATTCCTGAGCTGCGGGCGCAACGTTTATTCATTCCTCGGTGACTCATGCATTCAAGCACTCATTTGTTTATTTATTAACTATTTGCTGTGTGCTTGGCACTGTGCCAGGCCCTGTCCTTAGCCACCAAGAGTTTAAAGTGTGATTTGGAAGACAGGATACAAGATTATGTCTCCCCCGTATATTGCGACTCATTCATCAAGTTCTCCCAGCGTCTAGCATTAGTATCTGCCACTCAGTAGGTGCTCAACAAATACTTGTTGCACAAATGAATGAAAACTTTATTAGTAACAATACCTCTTATTTACTGACCTCTTCCCAACTTTCCATGTATTGTCGTCATCCTCAAGATAGGTCCCGTTATTATCCTATTTTATTGATAAGAAAAGTAGGGCACAGAGAAGTTAAGTAAATCGCCTAAGGTCACACAGCCAGTCTGAACTCCATGTATGTCTCAGCAGTGCAAGGCAGGCCACACTCAGGGTCAATGCTTAGCACGCGCAAAGACTGCATCAGGCTATCAGAGGACAACGCAGTCAAGAGGGGCCGGGGCAATAAAGGAAGGCTCCACGGAGACAGAGCAAAAGGACCAGTGGAGGCAGAAGAAGAGAACCATCTTTCCTGATGCGGGGGGCAGCAAGCAAGAAGGAGGCCCAGGGCGGGTCCTCCATACTGCCTTCCAAGGGTGAGGGGAAAGGATGCCGGCAAGGACATCAGCAAGGATCATTCAGCAAATCCAAGGGTGTCCCTGGTGCCAAGCCCTGGGCTGTGTGCCTAGGAGAACACGAACATGAATGAGAATCTACCTTTGAGGATCTACAGCCAATTGTTGGACAGAGGCAAAATATGTAAACAATTTTACTCCAGGAAAGCAAGTGTTGAGAGCCAGACGTGGTAAGAGAATCATTGTCAGGAAAACAGAGACTGTTTCCAAATGGGAAGCACAGAGCAATCTCCTTGGAAGAGAGCACATTGGAACTGAGCCGTGGGGGTGGGCAGAATATCACTGTGGAGTGGGGGAAGGGCGCTCCTGCGGTGGCAAGGTGGGAAGTGGGAGGTGGGCCCTGCGTGCCCACAGTGGGCAGGGAAGTAGTGAAGGGGAAGCTGGCCAGACAGGCAGGGCCACTCCCAGAGGGCTCTGAGTGCAGGGCTAAGCCATAGGCAATGGGGAGCCACTGGAGGTTTGCAGCAGGGGAAGGACATGTCTTGCCCACCAAGTGGCTACGGAAAAACAGTTGTCTCCCAAGTTATCAGTCCCTGAAACCCTTGCTGGGAGCAAGGATTTAGGAAAATGATGCTGAGAGATGCTAGAAACATATTCTCCCTGAGGCTCTCTCACTCATACTGCAAAAGGGAGGTGTCATCAAAATCACCCTCCAGGAACCAGAACAGCTGGGTCCAGGTCCTGCCAAGTCAGCAACCAGCTATGTGACCTTGCTCAGGTCCATCTCTGGGTGTCAGTTTTCTCATCTACAATGCAAGAGAGTTGCCCACCTCTGAGAACCCTCCTAACCCCAACTCCCACATTATGAATCTAAGAATCCCACAGCAACCCCTCACCCTCCTAAGTACCACAGAGCCAGGCAAGCATGAGGGAGGGCTCAGGTCATCTTTGTTACACTAAAAGGAAGGGGCAGATTGCCCACTGGGGGCGGCCGAGAGGGTCAGGCCCCCATAGGTCCTCAGCCCACTGCAACCTCAAGGGGGACGGGGTGCTGAGGGGTGCCAGAGAAGCAGCAGGCTCACTTAGGGAGAACAGGGGATTAGGATAGAAGGGAAATGAACTAAACAACCAGCTTCCTCCAAAACCAGCTCCAGGCCAGGGCTGGGAATTTCACAAAAAGGCAAAAGGCGCTCTGTGAACACTTCCTGCTCCGCCCCAGCTCCCTTCCTGGCAGCGTTGCCACATGGCTCACCTGTGAGGCAATCTTCCGGAGACAGGGCCAGAGGGCCAAGCACCCCAGCCAGGAGCTGCTATAAATGCGGAGCCTGCCCAGCTCTGGCAAACGCTCTGTGTGGCTCCTTGGCTTTGGTAAGTGAGCTGCCAGCTTCCCCAGGCAGAAGCCTGCCTACCAATTCCTTCTTTCCTTCCCTGACCCAACTTCCTTCCAAATCCTCCTCCTGGAAGCCCTCCTTGGTTGGCCCTGCCCACTTTAAAGCTTCTTTCACATTTTCTTAGGTCGTGTTCCGCTGGGGTCTCCTGCCCTCAAATGCTTTGCTTTTTGGCACTCTCTAGATATTCTAAAAATCATTTTGTACGTGTGTGTAACAGGCGATCTCCCAGTTAAGTTGCAGTCTGTGCTTTCTTTTGATTTTGCGCTTCCCCCACTGTTTCTGTGAGTGCTTAGTAGGAAGTGCCAAAGCAGCTGGACAGCCTTTTCTTCTAAACGCCCCAACTCTTGCTTCTCCATTATGCAGGCAGAGTGCAAGACAGCTTTCGAAATGTCTCAGCTGGAATGCAGCATAGATACCATCATCGACACCTTCCACCACTATTCTGTGAGGCTGGGGCACCCAGACACCCTGAACCAGAGGGAATTCAAACAGCTGGTGCAAAAAGAGTTGCAAAACTTTCTCAAGGTAGGGCTGGACTCTGGCAGGTCTGAGCCAGCCTCACGGCAGTTTGGGTTGAGAAGGGAAGACGGGGTTGTGGTCTACAGCAATCAAGGGGAAGATCTGAGCTCCTTGAACTCAGCCCCCAGACTTAGCAGGTGTCCTATTACACAGGGCAGGTGCTCCCCATTACACAGGACGACAGGGTCAAGAAACCGCTCAGTTGAACACCTGCTGTGTCGGGTCCTGTTCTATATTCCGGTGGAGGGGACACACTATAAAGTTGTTGACCAGTAAAGAGCACAGATAAAGCCAAATGCCGATAAGTGCCTGGAAGAAAATGAGATAGAGTGCTGCGGGCAATGCGGGCTGGGTGGGAGGGAGGTGACCTGTTAGGGTGCGTGAGAAAGGCTACTTTGAGGAGGTGACATTTGAGCTGAGCCCTTAATGTTGGCAAGGGAAACCCCTGAGGACGACCCTTGGCACAGAGCTGAGGAGACCCTAAGCCTCAGGCGGGAACTTGGGGTGGAAGATTTGGAAGGCTTTTCTAGTCCTGAGGGTCTGCGGTGGAAAGCGAATGCGTAAACAGCACGTGGAGAGAGAGCACCTGGCACAGCACTCAGGGAACTGGGAGGGTTTTCCCCTGCTCCAAAAACGATGAGGCGGTTCTAAGGAAAAGGCTGAGCACTTCCAACAGGCTTTTTGTTTCCAAATTTGGGGAAAGTGGGGAAACAGAGGCCTGCATTTAAAAAGGTGGAACACATGGGTCTCAGCCTCAGTTCCATTCCCCGAGCCAGACATCCTGGTGTAGGTCCCCAGCCCTCCCAGGGCCCCTCCCTCCACCTTGGTAAGTTGGAGAATTGCAGCCTTCCCTGGTATTAGGGACCCTGACAGTTCCCCATAGGTGGGGGCCTCTGACAGGCAGGATGCTGGGTGGGGTAGACATAAGAGTGCCCAGTGAAGAGGCTGCATGGCTAAGCTCCCCTCCGTGTGACCCCCTATGCCCGCTCCACCCCACACCTGACTTCCCCCTCCAGAAGCAAAGTGATGCTGTGGGAAAAGAAGCAGAGCCTCATGGAAGGGCTGCACAGGAGAGTGCTCACATTGGCTGGCTGCCCCACAGGCCCTGGGAGGGGATTGAGTGAGGTGACCCAGCCAGAGGGTGGCAGAGCAGGAACCAGCCCGTGCTCTCGCGTGCCCTGTCTTCCACTTCCCCCGATGTCTCTCCTTCTGTACTTTACCACAGCCTTGAAGGTCAACGGAGCACACACTCTGCTCTCTCTCCCTCCATCTCCCCTGCCCACACCTAGTTTTTCTAGGTGCGTCCCCCCGCTGTGTTGCTTGAAATGAGTTTCACTAATTGGTAATCTCCAGAGGGAAGGGAAGGAAGGACAGGGGAGGGATGGGAGTGGAACTGGCCTCTTAAGTCAGATCTGAATTTGCATGCCCTGAGCAGTCAAGCTGGGAAAACTAATGGCCCTCTCTAGGACCGGTTTCAAGTCTTCCTCCAGGAAGCTATCACTCCTAGCTGTTAAAGTTGTTATGAGGACCAAATGAGGTGACATTTCCAGGCTTACTCATGCCATGACCCGGGCAAGTCCCTGGAACTCAGCTTCCTCTTCTACAAATAGAAAACCAGGCTGGGTACGGTGGCTCATGCCTGTAATCCTAGCACTTTGGGAGGCCAAGGCAGGTGGATCACGAGGTCAGGAGATCGAGACCATCCCAGTCATCATGATTGAAACCCCATCTCTACTAAAAATACAAAAATTAGTTGGGTGTGGTGGCGCACACCTGTAGTCCCAGCTACTTGGAGGCTGAGGCAGGGGAATGCTTGAACCCGGGAGGCGGAGGTTGCGGTGAGCCGAGATCATGCCATTGCACTCCAGCCTGGGCAACAAGAGCGAAACTCTGTCTAAAAAAAAAAGCAAGAAAAGAAAACCAGCACCCAAGTCGCAGGCACATGCAGGGAATAAACTGGAGGGTGTTTGGTGCATGCTCAGCATCCGCTCCATTGTGGGCACTCAGCCCGCGGTCATTCTTAATTTTTGAATTGAGCCCCAGGGCGAGGCTTCCCTGTATATTTGCCAGCTGGTCATTTGCTGTGGCTCTGGTCTCCCCACCCCTGGCCACACCCAGCGCTCACAACACTCTCTCCCCACCCACAGAAGGAGAAGAGGAATGAACAGGACATAAACCACATCCTGGAGGACCTGGACACAAACGCAGACAAGCAGCTGACCTTCGAGGAGTTCATCATGCTCATGGCAAGACTAACCTGGGCCTCCCACGAGCATATGCACAAGGATGACCACGGTCCCGGCCACCACCATGGGCCAGGCCTCGGGGGGGCACAAGGCCAAGGCCAAGGCCACTGCCACAGCCATGGCCACGGCCACGGCCACGGCCACAGCCACTAACCAGGAGGCCAGGCCACCCTGCCACTGCCCAACCTAGGCTCCGGGGTCTGTTATGCCAAACTATCTTGGCTGTGAGGCTAGCGGCTAAGGGCAAATAAAGTCTTCCTCCAAGTCAGTGCTCTGCGTGCTTCTTCCATGTCCTCTCCAACCCTTCCTTCCTAGGGCTGTGGGCATTCAATGGCCCTGTCCTTACCTGTGGCTCAGCCCCCTCATTCAGTAAAACAAAATGAGAAGCAGCAAAACGTGGGTCTTTGCTGAGCCCATGGGCTCACCTCCCTGAGCATGTCCTCACCTCTGACTTCAGGCCCCACTGCTCAGATCCCAGACACCCTGCCCCATCTCAGACACCTCGTCCAGCCTGTCAAATGGCCCTTGTCACTGTACACTCTAGGAAGCAAAAGGGCATATCCCTACCCCTTGATATGCCAGTTACCTCCCCAGCCAGCCAACCCTGTCTTCACCCATTGCAGTCTACACAGCCCTGGGTCTCCTAAGAGAATTCTGTTCTTCTCAAAGTGTTCCAGAAATGGATGGACCCAGACAGTGCCACGTCGGGGGAGGAATGCTAGCACTCAGGTAGTGGGAACAAGGACAGATCTGGTGTGTTTACCCTCAGACTCTTCCTGGATCCAAGAGAGCAACTGTGTCTCTCTTAACAGAGCTGCCACCCTAACTGACAGGGTGCTCACACAAGTGGGAATCTGGGAGCTTAGCCCTATGCTCACCCTGGTCTCAACAGGATGACAGGGTGAAGAAATGAGCTTCAATCCTGGCTCTGCAGCTAGAAGACTCAGTGCCTACCGTAACGAGTCTGTGCTTTGGGTCTGGAGAGCCTGGGGATCTGAAGGCGCTGATTTGAAGCTTTGAGGGCCAGCTGTCCTTTCTGGGGGGTAGCCGAGAGCTGGAGCCAGCACAGATATCTGCTTCTCTCTGCGAATCTTACTACCAGGACTGGCCCTAGCTGTCCAGGGCTGCTGCTGCTGCTCTTCTTCACGCTGCCCCAGACCAAGCACTCACTTCAGGGACTCTTCTGCTATCTTCCTGCGCTTTGGCTCTAAAGTCCCTTTCCTAGGCCATAACCAGTCGGGGTGGGCCTTCCAAAATCCAGAGTCCAGATCAAGGTCCCCTGACCCCTGTCCCTCAGCAGAAAGAAGATTCACAGAATTAGGATCTGGGGGAGCTGGAAAATGACCAGCGGTCATCTACTCTCCCTTATGAAAAATAAGTGAAAAGAACCAAGGTGTAACATGGGAGAGAGACTAGTCCAAAGTCACACAAGTGACAGAGTTGTTTGAAATAGTTCAGTATGAAAAGTAGCTTGAGTCACATCTGCTCCGCGGGCTGCACCTCCCCAGCTCCTTCCCCAGGGCAGAGCAGGAAGGTGCAGAGCTGCCAGGGGTGAATTTCAGCCCTCCCCTCACAGCCTGGCTGTGGTTGTGCCCCCAACCTGCCTGTCGCAGATTCCTGCTCTAAGACCCTCGGGGCTCTGCTCTGGGTGCAGGTTTTTAAGGGCTCCCAATCAAGGGTATGAGGATGTTTCCAGGAACTGTCTCTGGCTGAGAGCTTAGGCATCAGAGTCTAGAAGCCCTCACCAGTCCCTTCTGTGTCTGACATGAGGAACTGACAGCTGGGGACACTCATCTTCTGACAGCCTTCTGCTCCCATGCTTACATCCAGAGAGGAGTCACTGTCTTCATCCCCTTCTGAACACAGCTTGGTACTGGTGAGAGAGAAGCATCCTGGGGATTGGAGGGCCTGAGACCAGATGCTTCCAGTAGGGGGGTAAGTGCTCCCCCTAGGACCTCTGCCCACCATTACTTATCACAATGTGCCTACATATGTTTATGACTCTGCCTATCCCTCTAAGCTGATAGGCCCAAGAGAGAAATATCCATGGAATCTGTCTTTTTTCTGCTTTATTCCCAGCACCTAGAGTAGTGGCTGCTACATAGAAGGTTCTCAACAAATATTGCCTGTATAATGTTCTAAAATTTCTCACGTGTTCCATACTCTCTTCTCAAGGGATGGTATCAGAAAAAAAAAAAAAAAAAAAAAAGGCAAGAGGAGATCAAAACTTGCAAATGGAAGGCTTCTGCATTAGCTTTATAGAATCTCAAACCTAAAGGTAAGGAGAAGCAAGTTGAGGTAATCTGAGGGCGCCTCCACCCCTCTGTTCAATCAGACCAATTCGATGTGAAGAAAGATATTTGTCTTGAAAAAAACGTGAAAACTATTGATTTAATCCAATCTGTCCCACCCGCACCCTAGAGTGATTCTCGCCAACATCCCTGCCAAGTGGTTGAACCAACCTTGCCTGAATTCCTCCAGGAAAGGAGAGTATCCTCCTTTGGGAGTGACACTTGGAATGTCCCTCATTACACTGAGACAAAATCCATTTCCTCATGCCCATCCAGCATTAGTCCTATTTTTCCTCCTTTGAGGACACAGAATAAATCTAACCCCTTATCATCTGTCCTCCCATCCACGTGTCCATTCTGCCACTTCTTCAAAACACCCTACCTAAATTACATCCATGCTTTCTCCAGCCTCTTCACCTTTGCACCAGAAACACTGTGCTCCATCCTGGTGTTTCTTATATGTCTTAGGGTCCATCAAGCCTCAGAGCCAGTGCTACTGCCTCCTCGCCATCCACCCTTCTCAAGAATATAAGGGCTTCCTCCTCCAGGCCCACAGAACTCTCTGATAATTCCACCATTGCACCTCAAATACTGAGCTGTAACCTCTCATTTGCCAAGACTATGAGTCCCCGAAAGCAGGGACTATGGCCGATTTTCCCCACATTCCAGATCCCAGCATGGACCAAGCTCTCGGTGAGCATTTGTGGATGAACAAGTGAAGATAGGATGGTTCTAGAGCAGAACTGGGCTCTTTGCTTGAATGTGGGTGTGAGGTGGGGTGGCTCTCAGGAACTGGGGTTGGGGGATGCCAGCTGTCTGGAGACCTAAGGCTGGCAGAGAGCAGAGCAGCTGAGCAGCAGGATGATTTGAGACCTCCTCAGGTACCAAGGGTTCTTCCATTTGCCTTGTCACTAGTAATTCAGCCTGCATGTAGACGATTGTTTCAGACCCTGGGGGAAGATCTGACAGCAAGCTACTTTCACCCTGTGAAATTTTCTTTAAACATAGTTGAACAGAGCTCATCAAGGTAACTTAACCTCTTCCTTCTCATTAGCCTATTTAATTTCAAAAAAAAAAAATCTGGTTTGGTTGAGTAGAGTGGAGTGGGCTTCTTTGCTCAGATAGAGAGAGCAAGCAGGCTGGGGGCAGTGGCTCACACCTGTAATCCCAAGACTTTGAGAGGCCAAGGTGGATGGATCACGAGGTCAGGGGATGGAGACCATCCCAACCAACATGGTGAAACCCCATCTCTACTAAAAATACAAAAATTAGCTGGGCATGGTGGTGTGTGCCTGTAATCCCAGATACTCGGGAGGCTGAGGCAGAAGAATTGCTTGAACCAGGGAGTTGGAGGTTGCAGTGAGCCGAGATTGTACCACTGCACTCCAGCCTGGCAACAGAGAGAGATTCCGTCTCAAAAAAGAAAAAAAAAAGAGAGAGAGAGCAAGAATTCCATGTCAAGATTAAGATTCCCAATCCAAGTGAGAATCAGTAGCTATTTCTGTGATTAATGAGTCTTTTGGGGAAACATGACCTTTGAGGACTTTCCCAGCGTTGTGGTGACTAAAGAAGCAGAGACAACCTGTCATCAGATTGTCAACAATTGCTGCAGCAATGAGTTTTCCTCCAGTCTGGGGTTAGCAGTGGAACCTGAAGTGCTGGATGCCTTTCTGGGAGGGATGAGGAATGATCAGTAGTGGTTTGAGCTGCTGAACCCTGCCCAGATACTTGACAGTGTTCTGAATGTGGTCCAGGGCCTGGGTGGTGGTGGCGTGGCTCCAGAACTTGGGGGAGGAATGAATTCACTTGTCTATTCAGTTGTGTGTCCCCTCATTCACTCAACAGACATTAGCTGCAGACTTACTGTGTGTCAGGCACAGTATCATGCTCTAAGGGGCCTTCATGATAAATAAGTCTTGTCCACGTTGTCAAGGAGCTCTCAAGCCTGTGGGGAGACAAGACAGCTCCTCCAGTGATTCTGATGTGGGCAATGAGAGGCCAGGAAGGTGCAAAGTTCGGTGGGACTTTGAGGTGGAAAGGATGCCCTTCCCTGGAGCCATCTCCATGGAGGGACGAGTATCAGTGTGACATCAAGGCTGGCACCTGTAGTCATCCCAGGATAAACATGAAGGTGCTTTGGGGGGGCCACATGTGCAAAGGCCCGAAATGGGCAGGTGTGGGGTTTGAGTGGGAATGAGGAGCACTGGGGGCGTGACGGGGACAGGTGAGAGACACAGCGGAGAACAGGGTAGGTACCAGGCCAAGGAGCTCACGCTCCATCCAGCAGAATGGGGGCAGAGCCCTGAAGGCTTCAGGGAGGGCAACGATGTAATCACATTTGCATTTCATAGAAGTTTCCCTATCTGTGTTTTATGGGATGGATTTGGGATAGGAGTGAGATCCCAGGCACACGGCCTGTGGGGAGTCTACCTCAATAGAACAGGTGAGCACTTAGGAGAGCCCAAGGGTGCTTCCCAGAAACAGTGAAGTTAGTTAGAGCCTCAAACTGCCCCAAGCTTTACCTTAGTTAGGCAAGGTGTGACTGCAACATGATAAATAACATTATTTCATGCTGTTTGCCAAGACCCTTCCAGGAAGGAAGATCTCAGCTTTCACCAGCCCAGTGAGGCAAGCTTACACAACCCTGATGCAGCCCTGCTCTGAAGCAAGCTCATAATCCAACCCCAACACGCTGCCCTCTTCCAGCAGTTGCTTAAAATGTATGTTTTAGAAAGCCTCCTGTCATGGATTTTGACACTCCAATTACCAAAGTGACAGCAGGACTGAAACAACTGGTTACTCAAGTCCTGTTGCCTCTCGGGGCTCTGGCCTGATACCATTTTTCTCTCCCAAGATGACAATCAGTCCCTGGATGATTGGACCCCCACTCCCTGTCTTCAGAGAGCCACCCCAGACACAGGAGACAGGGAAGGGGAGCCCCCGTGGGAGCGCCAGCTGGCCTCCTTCCCAAGTGTCC